TTCATTGAACAGAGAAAATATTGTTCCAGGACGGACGAAAGGAAAAACAACAGTGAACTTTATTTGACCAGAAATTTTTAAATAGAGTGGAAAACAAATGTAATATGCAAAATGACGTTAGGAATTTCAGTGCTCAGTTTTAGTACGAAATCACGAAAAAATAAAAAATTAATTAAATTAACAAAAGTTAAATAAATTTTAGATATGCTCGTAAATACATAATTACAATATCAACATAACTTAATGATGACATCATTAACATACTTTATTTATTTATTGCTAAGCATTGAATTCGAAACCAGTTAACAGATATTTTTAAATAAATAAAACTATGCTGCCTTATATTTCACTGGTTCGATCTGTCTAAGTGCAGCATTTAATTGCATATTTATATTATTATTTATATATATTAGTAAAACCTTTAGAAACGTCAATAATAAAATTAAAAAATTTATAACTCTTTTATAATCAACAAAAACAAAAAAAAAAACAAAATGTGATTTACATGTGATGTGAACGAGAACGGCGCAAAATACTCAAATCATTCGATTCTATTGAATCGTAGAACACTTCAGTCCTACACTGCTCAGCACCCGCTACTCTAGTCTATTAGCAAAAGTTTTTATACTCGACCCGTTCTGTTCTAAACTTTTTATTTATTTTTAATATTTTTTTTATATTTAATTTCTACTTTGCAAATGGTCATTTGTGTTAGGGTTTCACTTCATTTGAGCCATAAAAATATTGTAAATAAGGTATATATATATATGTATGAAATATATGTAAGTAAATATGAAACTTCGTCTACAAGTTTACTTATTGATTTTTATACTTTTTCTTTATTTTAGATTTTTTGTTTTAGTTTTGCTAGATTTAAATATCTAAACGTCTTTGAATTTAACGAGAGACCTGTTTTCTGGGTTTTTTGTTATTTAAGAATTAACACAGAATTTATTATTTTAATAATTAAAATACATAAAAATAAATTCTGGCAAGAATTCTAAGAAAAAGTCACGTTAAATATTAATAAAAGCAAAAACAGATTTTTTTCTTTCATGGAACATTGAAAGTCTTAACAAGAAACTTTAGACTTTGATTTCTAGAATATTTAATTAAAAACTGTTCAGACTTTTAATTTTTCTAGTAATTACTGTACTAAGCCAAGAAACTATGATTGGAGTTTAGCTGGCATATCTCTCTAGCTATTTTAGCAATGTTCTTATATTAGAATTAGAAAAAAATGTGTTAAAATTATTTTAAATTATATTAAATTATTCACAAAGAAATAAATAGACAAAGGCGCAATAAAGTGCCATATATGAAGGCAAAAGACAAAGTTTTAAGTGATCTGAATCATTTTACCTGTAACCTAAAGAATAGTGAGAAATCACTAAACTAAGCTGAAAAAAATTTAAAATAATTAAAAAGAATAGTAATTAAAACAAATAAATAAATGACGTATAACTTACTTCAAAGTAGAGCGTATTAAATACTCGTTAGTCTGATAATTAAATGTTAGTGGGATATTAATGTGTTTTCACTGCTTACTTAGTAAGTGTAACTTACGTAGTAACTGTAACTTACTTAGTAAGTGTAACTTTAAGTAAGTTTCCTTAAAATTTGAAATATTAAAAAAGTAGTAATTAAAACAAATAAATAAATGACTCGTATTAAATAGTCTGACAATTAAAGGCTAACGGGGTAAGAGTTACCGAATATAAGTCTAATGAGGCAAACTAAAATCTATAATTTACAATTTAAAACAAAAATCTATTGAGCTTTTGGAAGGTAAATTTGTAAAAATTAATGTTTATTCTCCAAAAAAAAAAAACACTTAAGATCATTATATAGATTTTAGCTAGTAATATTATTCGAAAAACTTTTACTGAAAATATTAAAAATAAACACTATATTGAAACTATATGTAGTGTGAAATATGTATTAAATATATATATGCATTCAATATATTTATATATATTGAAAATATATAATATTAAAATTAAGCGTTTGTTATATTCACACTAGAATTTTAAATATTATTAGAGCTGATCAGAGCTACGGTACTACCAACTGGCGTCAGAAAGCAACTAATCGGGCTGACTGGCGGAGACTACTCGACGCGGCCAAGTGCCAACTAAGCAAGTAAGTAAGAGATCAGAGCTTTAGACATTTTAAAATTCGATCATCTGATTCGAGCACCGTGATTCCATGTTTAAAATATATTCAAAATAAAACTCCTCAATCCAATATATCAATATAAAAATACATAAATGACATTAATCTTTTAACTAGATTTTATTAAATACTATGTTATATACTATATTTTATTATTACAATACGAATAATTACTTACAATAATCATTATAAGTAATTATAATCATATGTATTATATATTATATATATATATGAATTATAATAATTTATTATATTTAAAATTATTAATATTATACTATATAAATATAATAGTGCTTAATATTAGCGTGATCAACTGAAAACATATTTTAAAAATAAATAAACAAGTGATGTCGTTAAAGTATTGTATTTAAAATCTTAACAGGTGATGTAGTTATTAAGGTATAAATACCCTTACAAAAAATTAATTAAGTAGTTATCCAATGACCTTCAAAATATTATTTATTACTGAAGAAATCTGGCATGAAAATTGAAATTTAATTTATAATATATAAATATTTATAATAATTATAAATATTTTAAAATACAAATATATTTATTTTATTTTATTTTAGATAACCTTGTTACTTATATTGTATAACAAACTATCTCTTGAGTGGAAAAAATTTTTCAAGATAAATGAGTAAATTAAAATAAACAATTGAAATTTAATTTGTCAAAGCAATTTTGCAGCAGATTTTTATGATGATTTGATTTGACAAATACATCTGTATAATTAGAAACACGTAGACATTAATGTGATTTTATTTAATTAGAAAATATATAAGCATGTTAAAAAATAATTACACTTTTATATAGAAGTCACGAAAATCAAATATAGATAAAAACAAAAAAATTAAAATGAAATTAATATTATTGAAAATAAATATGTTAAAGTAAGTAAAAATTAATTAAAGAGTATTTTAAAAAAAAATTCAAGATAGTAAATATAAAAAAAATTAAATAAAATGAAGTTAAAAATAATATATAAAATATAAGATTTTATTTTATAAATAGAACAATAAATAAATAAATTTCTTTTTTTTGTAAAGATCACAGGATTTTTTAATAATATAAAAATTATTAATTTTTGTGCAAATAAAAAACAATGTTTAAAAAAAAATTTTAAAATAATATTTTAAATAATTTTTTTTTAAAAAAAATATTTTTGTTAATTTTCAAAGTTTGGCTATAACTATTTTAAAAATATATCTGGCTTTTATATTTTAATTATTACATTAATTTTGTTATACATTAAAAAACAATTAAAAAAATGCAATTAAAAAATAATTAATTAGTTTATAAAGTGAAAGACAAATAATAACAAAATATATATTACTTAAACAATAAAAAAAAATCGAGAAGGTAAGTAATTATGTAAGAGCTATTCAATGATTTTAAATGAAATTGATTTATTGTAATATATTATACGTTTAATAGGTTAGGAAATATGATATATATATCATAGCAACATTATTATAGCAAAAAGCTTAAATAAAAAAAGGTTTAATATATTAAAAACAATTTTATTCTTCACACCACAAGTTGAAATTGTAGAGAAAAACAAGGGCTTTCCTACAAACCCAAGTCAGTAATACCTATACAATATTATTTCTATTTCGGTCTGTTCAAAATAATAGCATTTCATCATACCTATCATATACTAGATTATTTTGATATTATAATAAATAAAAAATTTTAATTAAGTTAATTTGTCTTAATTAAATAATTTGTAATAATTAATTTTTCTCAATGCTTTAAGCAATACCCAAGGAAATTTTATTATTTTCTACATGTATGTATATATTCAAAATAGATAAAAAATATGATATAAACTATAAATATAATTATAAAGAAAAATAAGAGATTTGAATTAAGATATGAATATATTAAGTTTTATATTCAGAAAAAAAAAAAATTTGCTATTACCAAATTGTGAAAAAATTCAAAAAATAATGTGCAAATTATTTTTTTTTCTATTAAGATAATAAATATCTTAAATTTTTTATTAAATTTTTGTTTATGTTTTTTAGTGTTTAATCATGAACACTACAAACGCTTAACCGCTTCAATAGCTTTTGATAATAAATAAAGATAAATAATCATGAACTAAAATGGGTTTGTAGCTGAAATAGAGATGAAGAGTAGATATAATTATTTTTGTATGTAAGTTGTACTAAATTATTAAATTGTTAACCTTGAATAAATAAAATACGATAACCTATATTAATTTCATGTTTATAATATAGTATTATGAAGTTTACTATGATTTGCGGAATTTAATTATGATTCAAATTATTGTTAATTTATATACTGCTTAAAACACAAAAATTATGTAAAAAATATATAGTATTCTAAAAGGGTTTGAAGAGTAATAAGGAAACGACAACTACACAAATTTGATTAATTTATTTAAATTTGAGTGACCATACAACCCTGTTTTGAGTATTGCCAAGTACTCGTTATCACTGATCTTAGGAAATATTCGAATTCGAATAGTCTATTCTTATATACATATCTCACATATCTTATCATACATTTATAGTATTATAGTATTATCATACAGTATTCTATTAAAAAGGAATATGCGAAATATGTAGTCCAACTAAGTCGAATTGTATAAAAGTACATACTCGAATACCTTTAAATTAAATTCTTATGAATTCTGATGTGTAGATATATAAGTTGATAACATCAAGAGTGATATAACATAGATCATGTTTTTCTTTTATCAAATTATTTTAATAAAAATTAACACAGCAGGCTGTAAAATACAACCATATATATATTTGTTAAAAAATTTAAATTTTCAATATTTATTTCAAAATTATTTTGTACTAAATCACTACTAAATTTCAGATTGCACAGCTTTTGTGTTAAGCGAGTGCTTTTCTGGAATAGCAAAATTATTCATATACCGTTCAAAGAAAAGGTGTATCTTTTCCAAATTCAAATATAGTTCTATGTTTGTTCTATATATGTTCTATGTAAGTTCTAGTGATTTTCATTAAAACTATGAAGAAAGCAATAAATGTATGGAATTGCAATAATTCCCCAAATTTTTCGAGATTTGAGTTAGTTCAATGGGTCAATGACACACTTTTATCAACAAATATCTCCAAAGTCGAAGAAATGTCAAAGGGATATCATTATTGCCAAATGTTTGACCAAATCTTTCCTGGGGTTATTAATATGAACAAAGTCAAATTTTCTACTGAGCTGGCACGGGACCATATAGGCAATTTTAAATTATTGCAAAAAGCATTCATAAGTGCTGACATCACAAAAGAACTAAAAATTGAAGACTTGATAATAGGACGTTTCAAAAACAACTTTGCATTACTAGTTTGGTTTAGAAAATTCTACGATATTAATAAAGGTAAAAATTTGAATTATAATACAGTTGAAAAGTGTGATTCCTGTTTAGAATTTAGTGAAAATCTAAATGAGAAAAATTTGGTATCAAAGTCAATATCGACGCAATCTTTTACAGTGGTCATGTATAAAAAAACAGGTAAGGAAGAGAATACCTTATCCTATTCCCTAATACTTGATGAAAATCAGAATAAAATGGAGACCAATAATAATTCTGCATCGAATTCGATATCGAGCCACAATTTTACAGTGCTTGTGGGTAAAAAATTAAATGAAGAAGTGAATACCTTACCCAGTGCTCTAACACTTGATGAAAATTATAGCAAAATGGAGAACAATAATTCAATATCGAGTCAAATTTTTACAGTAGTAGTAAAATTATTACTTGATAATAATCAGAACAAAATGGAGACTAACAACAACTTGGCCTCAAAGTCAATATCAAGCCATACTTTTACAGTACTCGTCACTAAGAAATCTAGGAAAGAACTCAATATATTATCTTACTTCATTGAATGTGAAGAACCTAGTTCTGTTATGGAGTCAATGGAAGATAGTACCGTGTAAGCAATTGCGCCATTAAATTTGTGTTACAGAAATTGTTGTTACCCATGATTATGCTCAGAAAAGATTCTACAGAAAAATAGCGAGTATTCATAGCTTGTGGCATATATATGTAGACGCAAAAATTTATTCTATATGGATAATCTGGATTGACAAACAAGTAAGATAATTTACATACATTCATATAACAAGGAAACAAAGTATTAAAATTTTATATTTTTCTCAGATTCATTGTGGATAACAGAGTAAAATTCATGTAATTATTTCGGCAGCTAAATTTTTTCTTACTAATAATGAATTCATACGATATCAGTATCATAACCAAGTTTTAAGTTTTTGATAAGATTAAGCAATATATTTTAATATAGTACTTAAAACAAATTGTGTTTCGTTGTAAACTTATTACTTATTGATGGAGGTTTCATTATTTCTGAGAAATTTTAGTCCATAGATTACAACTGATTTTTAGAAAGCTAAGAAAAATTTATTAAATATATGGTCCGAATTTAATTGTATATGAAAATTGCACTAAACTATCTAATTATCAAGACAATATGTAGATAAATATCCCATTGGAATAAATTACGCCGGCAACAATAGAAGTTATATGTTTAAATATAACTTCTTTATAGTTGAGGATCGAAGTCTATCTCTACCTACCTCTGATGTTCTTTGAACAAATTACCCAATTTCGTTTACCTTCCGTACGGATCTTATAAAAAAAGAGTGGAAGTTGTGGGCACCTGAATTACGTGGCACTAGGTACATACTTCTGGTGGTATGTTGCAATAATAGAAAGTCAGTGAAAGTTAGTTTGCAAGGGGTAATAGTCTGTTTTTACACCTGAATCTATAAATAAACTAAATCAAACATTCTAACAAAAACGAAACCGATTGAAAATAATATGAGTATATTGATCGAAATTTATAAAACAAGATGTTTAGGTGTTATTGTATTGGAATTAGAGAGATCTATTGTCATGCATTATTTTATTACTATCACTTTAGATTTGGAATTAGGTTGATAAGCTTTCTGTTTCTTTTCATTGTGATGGCAATGTATTGTTCAACTTATATCTACCATTTATTAAAATCAGTTTTTCATATCATTTTAATTCTTTATTTTTTTTTGTTTTTTTTTTTTGTTTTGAAGAATATAAGCTTTTATAAAAACAACTTTACTAACTTCGCACCCATCTACTAGAAACCCGTTTTTTTTAACCTCTGAAATGTATTTCGCTTTTCATGTCGAAATTTGTCGGTACTTAATTGTATCTTTTTCATTTTACATAACCGTCAGAGTGAAAGTGAAATTATTTGCCAAGCATTTCTTTTTATGTTTGATTAAATTTTTTTTTTGTTTGTTTGTAGTTTAATGATTGTCTTTCTATTACTTATTTATATACATATACATATACATATATATATACATTTATTTTAAAATATTAACATTACAATGTGTAAATAATCGATATGGAAATTTATATTTATATAATTCATTCAGTCAATTAAAATATCATTAAGAGCAGAGGTAGGATACTACATTGTGACCGAAAAGTTTCCGGTCATAAATAAATAAAACGCAAAATTCTTAATCTTCATCAATATTTATTTATCTCCTTCAAAATATGCTCCATTAAAAGCGATACACAAATGCCAACGTTTCTTCCAATCATCAAAACATTTTTTTATAGGCGCTTTCCGGTATGGCTTTGAGTTCCCTCTGCGAATTCTGTTTTACGTCTTCTATGGATTCAAAACGCGTTCCTCTGAGTGGTAATTTGAGGTTGGGAAACAGGAAAAAGTCACACGGTGCAAGATCAGGTGAATACGGTGGCTGTTCGATGGTATTTATTGAATGTTTGGCCTTAAAATCGTTGATAATGTTGAACAAATTGAGGTGAATCGGAACAAGCCGGGCGTTGACACGTCGCATACACAAATTGTCCACCAAAATCAAACGAGCCATCTCACGACCGATGCCTAGCTCTCGTGCTATCTCTCTAACACTCACATGAGGATTTTTGAACACGATTTCCTTTGCCTTTTCAATGTTTTCGTCGGTGGTAGAGGTCGAAGGTCGTCCAGAACGCGGCATGTCTTCGACGGTCGTACGACAGTCCTGAAAGGCTTTGTACCACTCATAAACTTGAGTTTTCGATAAAACTGATTCCCCATAAGCCTTTTGTAGCATTCGCAACGATTCTGCACACGAAATTTCGTTCGAAAAACAAAATTTGATGCAAACTCTTTGTTCAATATTTTTTTCCATTGTTTTTTTCGCAACGCACTACTGAGGTGAACTGGTTTCAACAGCTGCCGTAAACGAACTGTCCGACAGATCGCGCTCATTTTTGGCATAGTAATTAAGGACAGTGCTGCCAAACTACATAAACTTAAAATATCGAAAAATATACAGCGCGCGAATTTTAAATGAGAACCTCCGAAAACCTTTCGGTCACAATGTATATAAATAAAATATAAATATATTTTTTTAAATACTTTTTAGACGGAGTTATTAAATATAAATTATCTTAAAGTTTCTCAGAATTATTTCAACGTGTTAATATCATCAACAGTAAAGGGTAAGATAATATAATTTTTTTGTAATGAAACATGTATTAAATTTCTTGGACTTTTATTTTTTAAAAAAGAAGTATTATTTTTAAAAATATTTCTAAAGTATCTGCTTTAAGTCTAACTTGAATTTACTACGTTCAGTTCACCAAATAACATATATTTGTTTTATATATAACAAATTTCTTGAGGGTGTATTCACCAAATAATGCTGGTATTATTGGGATAATAATTTTCAGTCTGAGTCAGTCTGAGAGTTAAACGGTGACGATATCATGTATCTGATATGATTACAGATACAGTTTTATCTGCAAACTAATATGTTTGTTGTCTGTGATAAAATAATAATTTTAAGCAATACTTCGATTTGAAAACAAACGCGTTTGTTATATATCAAAAGCATGCTTCCGTTCATCATGATTCCATCAATCTAGTTTTATGTTGTTTTGAGAAGTCCAGATAGATAATACTAAGAAACCTTGGTATTACAAGCTATCATACTTTGCGCAACAGTGAAGTTGAATAGGTTTATCTCCAGAGAAGTGCGTAGGTTTCATGGAAATAATAGATTCTAACTATTGTACCAAAAATTATTTCTCTTCCAATTATTTAATTTATTTTTTATTAAAATTATTATAGTAAATGATAAAACTATTAATTGCACATTCAATTTTTCACCTAAAATGTTAAGTAAAATATTTAAAAAATGTTGTGCGCAATAATGATTTTTTTTGTTTTATGTTTGCTTTTATTTAAATATATAGATAATAAAATGTTCTACAAACACAAAACTTTTTTATCTTAAAGTAAATATCATCTTTTGTGTATGTATCTGCATATTAAGTCTTTGAAAAATTACTTTAATAATCTCCAGTATGTTTGGGAATGCCAAAAATATTTATTCTTCTTTACATGAAAATAAAAAATATAACGATCATATATATATATACCCATACATTAAGACCGAAAAGTTTTCGGAAATTCTCATTTAAAATTCGCGCGCTGTATATTTTTCGATATTTTAAGTTTATGTAGTTTTGCAGCAATTAAGGACAATTACTATGCCAAAAATGAGCGCGATCTGTCAGACAGTTCGTTTACGGCAGCTGTTGAAACCAGTTCACCTCAGTAGTGCGTTGCGGAAAAAACAATGGAAAAAAATATTGAACAAAGAGTTTGCATCAAATTTTGTGTTTCGAACGAAATTTCGTGTGCAGAATCGTTGCGAATGCTACAAAAGGCTTATGGGAAATCAGTTTTATCGAAAACTCAAGTTTATGAGTGGTACAAAGCCTTTCAGGACGGTCGTACGACCGTCGAAGACATTTCGCAACGCACTACTGAGGTGAACTGGTTTCAACAGCTGCCGTAAACGAACTGTCTGACAGATCGCGCTCATTTTTGGCATAGTAATTAAGAACAGTGCTGCCAAACTACATAAACTTAAAATATCGAAAAATATACAGCGCGCGAATTTTAAATGAGAATTTCCGAAAACTTTTCAGTCTTAATGTATATATGTGTGTATTTATGTATCTACTAAAGTAATTTTACAATATATAATTGTTATATAAAATTTATCTGCAAACTACATGTTTTGCATATTTTTAAATTTTTTTTAATATTTTTTAATTTTATTTAAAGGTAGATAATAATTTTGAAGGCTTGTCACGTTTTGCTGTTCTTATTGCAAATGAAAAATATTAAAATATCTTGCATATTTTGATAATGTTTTATAATATAAATTTTTTACGTGTTTCAAATGGAAAGTTCATTTATATACATATGAAATTATAAAATAATAATGACTTTGATATTGAATTTTAACCATTCACGACATTATTTTTCCAATTGATTTTCATACAGATAAATAAAAAAAACAAAATACAAATTAAATTATTAAAATAATGTAAAAAAAATTACAAGCATCCGTTGGAAAATAATTGCAGTTCATTAGCGTTTTTATATCTATAGCGCAAATATTTTCATATTTTATTTAATTTGTATTTAAAATAATTTTAAAATAAACAAATAATAATAATTCATGTACAGTGTTTTTATATTTTTGTATGCATTAGTGCAAATATTTTTTTATCTATTTTATTTAATTTGGATTTAAAATAATTTAAAAATAAACAAATAATAATTTATCTGTTGCTAAGCTTTTGTATCTCAGTTTTATATGCAAAAATATTACAAGTGAGAAACAATAAAATTTCCCTTGGGCTATGCAAATATATTTAATAATCTGTCTTTTCTATATTCAGTATTCAATGAGTTTCACTTGGGCTTTATACGAAACTCTTATCATTTGCTGGATATATTTGTATGACATCCGACAGATTAACTGGACTTGACATTAAAATTACAATTATCAGATTAACTTATATCTTCACAATGAAATGTGTTGCAATTTTTCTCGTTATAATTGTGTATGAGATCCTATATTTTATGAATATCTTTAGGTTTTATTAATTATGAGAGCGATATGTTACAATAAAGCAGAGCATTAAAGGCACAATGTAGATTGGATAAATAGTAGTAGTATGTAAAGAGTATTTATTAGCATATATATAGTATGTAGTATTTATATATCAACAAATCGAAAAATTATTTTATATAAACGATTCACTTGTACCTTTTCAATAGAAAAAAGATAGATATATAACAAAGATATAACGAAAATTCTGCATTTTAATTTTCAATTTTGGTAGAATCTATATTCAAAAATAGAATTTATTCAAAAGTCAGCATTGCTATATTAGCTGTCAAAATGTGGTATCATTATTTGACTTAAGTGTGATATTAACTGCAAAAGACCTCAATTAAGCTCACAGTTAGGAAGAAACGACGCGTATCATGTTATCGTTAAAAATACTTGTATTATTTGTATTATATATTTCTATATATAATTTAAGAAGTAACTAATAATAAAAACTTTGTTGACCAACAAGTCTTCATAGATGTATAGGAATACCCAACTTAAGATAAATTGAATATATCCTAAATTTGATTTTTTAAATCCATTATTACTTATGCTTTTCATATTTTTTTTACGATTCAGTGTTCAAATAATAAGTATTTAATTTCATATGGAATTCATTCCCTATGCTCTCGGATTCTCTAGAACAATTTCAATCATTTCTTCTCCATATCATGTCGTTCTGTTTGTCTACCTGTGATTGTCGTGTTTCATCCTTGCATTAGACTTCCAATTATTTACTTGTATAATTCAAAATTTCGATGTCACAACAAGTGTGACGTTATTGGTAAGTGTGTATGTTATTGTAGTTGTAGTAGTAGTAGTTGTTGTTGTTATTGGTGTTGCAGTTGCTGTTTAAGCATATTGTGCATATTTCACTTCAAACAATGCGGATGCATTTCATACTTCATTGCATCGCGTTCCAATCCTAGCACATATTGTAATTATTCACAACATCATTTTAATGATGTAGCTGTGAAGGATGCCAGTGATAGTCTTGCTGGTGTAGTTACTGTTGTTACTGTAATATCTGTAGTTACTGTTGTTGTTGTTTCTTTTTACTTCATGTATTCTATTCAGGAACAGCTGCAATTTTGCCGTTTGTCATGTTGACAAATAGCTTGGCAGCGCTTCTATAAGTTGAGCATTGCAGGTAATTCATTGAGATGTGCTTGTTTATAGTATGAAATTGACTTTGTTCTTGTTGTTGTTGTTGTTGTTGTTGTTATATTTTATGATTATAATAAAACCGTAGTGTCGGAGTTGAATACCATCGAATGGATGAGTTCATTTTTGAAAATTAATTCCATATAATTGCAGTTGTTGTGGGTATAAAATATGTTAAGTGTATTATTGCATTCTATTTAAGAGGAGTGAGATAGGCTTCTGACATAATTAAAAAAATAGACTTAGTATTCGACTGCAAAATAACTGCTTAGGAAGAAGAGTTAGACAGAATTAGAAGAACTAGTTTAGAATTAGTTTAATTACAGGAATTACAGAATTAGTAAACAGGAAAAGCGAAGGTTATATTAAATATTCTCAAATCTTTATTCGATAAAATGTAAAATATTTTCAAAAAGACTGTGGGTGATCAAAAGTAATATAAGTTGTACAGAAATATTTTCGTTAAACAATAGTATTTGAAATTACAATTAATATATTTAAGTAAATTTGTATGTTTTACAATATTTATACTATTAAAATTTAAAATCAAATTTTTTTTATTTTCAAAGTAAAACTATATAACATAGTGCATAGTCAAAAGTTGAACATTTGATCTATATTCTTTATCATTTTAATTTTTCCGCAAAAGATTATAATAATGACCGCCCACAAAATCATGAATAAATTATCTGTAACATTCTCAAACACTGATAAATCATTTTTTGTGTATTTCTGATTAATAAAAATTTAAATAATTAATTGTTTAAATTTAATTCAATAATGTTTATATGAAATATTGAAACGTGAGTGATAATGATAGAGGCAGAGGTAGATAGTGATTGAGGCAGATCAGGAAATAAAATTATACAAGTAAACCATAAAATGTGCAGAGAAAATTTGTGATTAAATGTCTTTAAATATAAAAACAAAAAATCTGATTCTAATTCATCTCATCCATATTTCTAATTCTAATTCATATATGTCAATCTTATAAACCAACAAATAACATTTTTAATGACAATAACATACGTGATAGCAACAATTTTACTCTCAGGGGTCAACACCTACATTATCTGTCATTGGAGTCTTTTTTTCACACTATTTTTACTTTGATTGATGTTGGATTTTATGAAAAAAAAACAATTTTTTTGTATGTTATCATAGAATACATTCTCAATAATACAAAAAGAAAAAATAATAAAAATTGCACTATGTGTGTATTATCATAAAATACATCTACAACATAAAAAAAATGCATAAAATTAATCAATAAAATTTCTGTTTATTATTAATTTCTGCTCTGGACTTTGCTTTATAAAAATAATTAACTTTACTTCATCCACAACAGCTAATAGCTGCTTAAAATTAATTATATCAGCTTAAAATTAAATAATTTTTTTTTTACTTTACTTTATATTCCTTTAAATAACTAGTTAAGGGGATTAAAAAAGTAGAACAAAAACGTATTAAATCGCATTACACTTCTTTCGACTAACAAGAAAACTTCAAAAAAAAATTAAAAAAAATAAAAATAAATCTATAAAAATCTAAGTGAAGTGTAAAACACGGAAAAGATTAAAGAAGCGAAAAAGGCAACAATTGTTCTATTGTCTACACACAACTATTACTATATACACACCACACCACACACCACACCGATATTAATACCAACCAACCAGCAACAACACTGTCAATGTGTCAGAATGTCAATTACTGTGAAGATATTAAATTGAAATGCAACAAATGACAAGAACAAATCCCTAAATTTTAGAAAGACTTGTTTCGGATTGTGCTTTGTGCTTACAGGAAGCAATTTAAATTTGTTTTGGTGTGCCGGCAGAGTGTTAACATTTCTACACATCACCAAACATCACCCAATCCAACCCACCACACTTTACAATTGCTTCATGTTAGCAACAACACTAGTGCACTCTTGTATTGTATTTTGTTTAACTATTTTTATGTGCTAAAATGAATTAATGCATCAAATGTTGTTGTTTCTGTTGTTTATATGTTGTTGCTTACATTCGTTTCAAGTCGGTAATCAGACATATACAATCAAAGCTATGTCCGTTTGACCCACAAAATCAAAGTATTGTATGTGAAGTGGAGAGTTAGTGTAAGGATTAACAGTTTTCGTATTTATGGTAGTGAAAATTTATGTGTGAGGGCAATTAAAAGTAGTTGAAATAAATGCATTTTAATGAAGATTTTAAATAAATTTTATTACAGATATTTATTTTCATTTTTCATACTTATTTTCTTACAAAGTAAAAACTTATGTATATACTACATGTGTAAACATAATATGTTCCGAAATATTATGTTAATAAAAATACATATATATTGGGTTAGTAAGCTGATATTAAGTTGAGAACAGAAAATATATGTTTTGCATACTAAAAAATTATAAATACATATTATATTCTATTATTAAATAAGTTAAATAATACTTGCATATTAGTGAAGTTTCACACATAGAAAAAAATTTTTTTTTATTGACCACAAAAATTAAATTACTTCCACTACTCCTCTTTATTCTATCGTCTCTATTGCAATATAATCGATAGAATAAACAGGATGACGTAGATATGGTTTTAATAACATTAATTCATGTTAGATCATGATCCTGATGATGACCCTCAACGGGAGTCGAAATATAGAATATAATAAAAAATACTCAACGTGGAATTATTAAACAAAAAGAGACCTGTACCTTTAGCCGGATAAAAAAATATATAAAAACAATTATAAAAAACAAGTCGATAAATAAATTCAAAAAATAAAAAAATTATTTTATAAATTACATACAATGTTTTCAATTTTGTCGGGCTTTATTATAGGTCGTGGTTTTAAATTTATATTTTTATATAATAACTCGTATTATATACAAAAAACACACTTTAAATTATATAAAAATATCACAGTGATTAATTTATGTAATATATTTTATTATCTTTTACCATCTTTTGTGTTATTACAAATTATACAAATACAAAAATTTCATTAACTCGAAGTCTCTCTAAGTCGAGTTATGGGAGTTTGACTGTATATATATATTTTAAAAATTTTTTATATGCTACTAAATCAATTTCATTTTTATTTTTAAGCAAAGTACGTTGGTTCTATTAAAACATTATTAAAATTTATTTAATTTTATAACATGTGCACGTGCAAGCACTATCGATGATCGTATTTAGGAGCTATATTATATATTATTATATACTATATAATAGTATATAATAATATTTTAAATACTATATTGTACACACTACATATACTATTCGGGAGTTATAAATTATTATATTTATAGTAGCTTTCTGTGTCATGTATTTATATTCGAACTAGAGCAGAATAAAAAGTATGAATGCTATATATATCAAGCAAGTATTTACTTTATTATATTCTGACAATTTCTTGAGCCGAAAACTAGAAATGCATCTCTTACTTACTTTATTCTTAATCGTTTTTCTAATTTTTCCAACAACACATTTATATTATATACAGATTCACTATAACAGTTTAGTTTCTTTTTTTATCATTATATTAAAAAAATAAAATTTAGTAATACCAAAAATAATATACTAATATAATGAGTTTTTCGACACTTTAACATTTTTGTTATAAAATAATATGCAAAAATTATGATCGGTCAAAAAAAATAACACAAACAATTATATATTTTTGACATTTCAATTGGCGTCAAGCTTTTTTATTTCTTTGAAATATTTAATATGAAGCCGGTTCACATTGCTTATCATATAAAACTTCCTATTTAAATGAATAGGGTTTCTCTCCATAGCAAACAACATCAAACAGCTACACACTTGTCAAGTGCATTTTGTACAATAATTTGATAAAAAAAAGTAAAAAATCCGAAACAAAGAAATTAAATGTAATGTAAGAGAGAAATTGTACTTACCACAGAGATTTGATATGCGGAAATCCTTTTTAATCCAAAGTTCACTGTTTTAGCAGCAATGTTGGCAATAAATGTTTTTTGTTGTTACTTTTCTGCTTTAATTTGTGTACTTTTTGTTGTTTTGTGTTTTGTAAATGTTTGTAATCCTTTTGTTAAGCTGTTTACAGATTTTGGATTTTTTTTATTATTTTTAGCACAAGTATATTAAGAAAATAAAAAACCTTTAAATAGGTAAAATAAATAAAAGTGCAAATGTAAACAAAGGTTGGTCGGTCAACAGGTAAAAAGACCCACAAGAATTACACCTTTCAGCATTTCTTAAATTCTTTTTGTATTCACTTACGTAGATTTAATTTTTTATATAGAAACCAAATTTATTGCACAAGATTTTAAGTATAGTAGTGAGAAAAAATATTTTTATATGCAACACTATTTCTTTAAAGACAAACCAAGATTAGCACATAAATTTTAAAATTTTTTAATTACAAAAAAAACTAACATTATAGGCACATCTTTTCACATGTATTTAACAGAAATAGATATAAAAATTAAATAAAGTTGGCTTAAAAATGATGATTTCACAAAATGGTAAAGAAATTTTTTTTCTTTTTAAAAAGTATTGCGCCTCAAATAAGTACAAAAACACTTGCGTGTTACAACCACGTTCAATGCGCACGAACTAAACTGATTTCCATACAAATTTGCCGTTGAAGTCTTTCGTTTAAGCAGACAAGTTAAGACAGTAAAAAGTAATAATAACAACAACAATAACAACACGAGTAAGAGCAGCCGTAGCAGCAACAGCAACAGCAACAACAACACCAGCAGCGGCAGTAATAATAAAAGGAAGGAAAGCACAAAGCATAAAATTAAAAATGTGAAAGATAGAGAAATATACAACGATATACAGTCTTAAGAGAGTTGCTTTAGCTGTCGCTACAAACGTTGACGTTAACGTGGACAGTGTTATTGAAGCAGCGGCTGTAGCAGCAGCAGCAGCAGTTATCAACAGTAAGCAGCAGCTGTAGGAAACTTGTTAAAAGGTTTCAATATAGGAGTAGTGTGCAGCAAATGTAAGACGAAGAAAACAAGTAACGTAGTAAACAGAGGAAAAAGAAACCTTTCTTAACTTGACTGGTATCTTCTACACTGATATCGTTTTTGTCTACGATTTTTGTGGTATTTAACAGTATGTTTATATGTATTAATGTTTGTAAATGTATTAGCGTGGAGGTGAGTTAACGTAAACGTAAACCGGGTCGTCAAACAGCACACTGACGTCAGTCTACAAAACCGTCGCACTGTTTACATTAACATTTGCGGCTGCGCTGTTTACTTCTTTTACCTGTTTTGATTTGTATTTTGTTTTTACTTTTTTTGGTTTCTAATTTTCTTTTCCTGTTGCTTCTTGATGTACACGCAGAATACCGGACTCGGTTGGTATTTAACTGCTTTTGCGGTGTATTTTTTTTATTACTCTTTCTAATTTCTATATTTTTTTAACATGTTTTCTGTTAATTGTTGTTGTTGTTGGTTTTGTTTTTGTAAAAATATTTGTTGTTACCGTTGTAATAAAGTTTCATTTGCTTGGTAGACAGTGTTCTGTATTGTTCAGTTTTACATGCATTTACATACGTCATACAGAAATGTTACGTTAATTGTGGTATGAAGAAATTTCATTTACGATTTTTCTTCTATTTTTCGATGTGATATTAATGTATCGATCGCTAGGTCCCTTAATAAAGATGTTAGTCTTTAAAAAAAAAAAGAAGAAATGTAGACGCCTACATACATTGAAAGTTATTAAAATTTTTACATTTAAAATAGTTGATTATTTATATGTGATAATGGCTCCGTATACGTGCATGCTTTCATCTTACGTGCGTATATCGAGCTGTGGTGAAAAATTTTTTTAGACTTCACTTTTTGATAAGAAAAAGAATTGTTTGGTCATTAAAAGTGATGGAAAGAAAAAAAATTTCGTGCTTTTGGCACGTAAAGTAACAAGTTTTTAATATTAAAATAAGAACTGTTTTTTTTTTCATAAATAAATGTTTTTAAAATGGGTATTTCACTGTTCTAAATAAAATCATTTTATTTAATAATGATTTTATGACTAATTAAAGTTGATCGAAGAATTTAAAACTTCCGAAAATCCACAAAAAATAAAAAACTTGATTTTTTTTAGAACGAAATTTGATATCATGAACTAGAAATACCTCAAATTTATGTACCAACAGAAAAGTAGTTCTAGGTCAAGACTGCCTGTTTAAACACAGGCGTATTATTTCATGTTTAATACGCCTAGTCTAGCTTGGCTATACTAAGTGCAAGCAACATTTTGAGCACAATTTTTCCATACTTTTTTTTTCAAGTACCTATGGTTTTAATATAAACTATAGAGATTCGTGCTTTAAATATTAATTATTTTAAAACGTATTCTTTTTGCTGAGTTATAATATTCGTAAGTCATACTAAGATTAGAAAAAAGGATATATGCGAATGCTATACTCTTGTGAATAGCATTTCTTTTTTAAATAGTGACCCTAAACTTAATTGGGAGAAGAGAGTGATAGAACAATAAGTACTTTATCCAATACGTTTTGAAGGATATGATATAAATAGTTAAGATTCTTCGAGTAGTTTGAGATTTTTGAAATGTGATCCTTTACAGAAAAAGCTTAAAAATAGAGGAATTATGTTTTTAAGATTCTCTAAGTTGCTTATTTTATTGTACAAGTAGGTTTGAGACAGATTTTTATATTAGTAACCATTAAATAAACATAAAAAAATATATAGCCAATTATAATTACTCTTTTTTTTTGTTGATGTAGTATTCAACCGCATGTAGTTTAGTATGTAGTTTTATTCAACCGCTTAACACTTTATATATAAAATTTTTTATAATCATTTCTTCGTAAAAATAAATAAACTAAGAAAGGATTAGTTAATTAAGTTTTTAAGCTTGAAAGAGGTTTTTAATGATTTAGAATTAAATAAATAAAATAAATAAAAAACATATCGTCGATTATAATTATTGATTATTGTCAATTTTATGTGGAGCAATTTTATGCTTCACGTTTAAATTGTCTTTATTAAACCGCGTAACACTGTAATTTTAAATTTTAGTTAATCATTTATTCGTCCAAAATGAACAAACTAAGATTTGGATTTCTTGACTTTGGCTGTTCTTGGGTCCGTAGTAGCGAGAAGACATGGGTGAAGGCTTAATAAAGACTAATACTAGGTTATTTAATGACCAAAGATAACCTTAAACGACCCACCTAATTAAAAAACTGATATATTTTATAGGTTAAAAATTATTATTTAAATTACGTTAAATTTGATTTAAAATTCAGAGGTACAGATGTTTATCAAATTGATGTAAGCTCAGTTCAAACTTTTTTTGAAACAGATTTTTTATATAAAAATATATAAAATATGTATAAAGAGTTACACTCAAGCACCCATTGACTTAAAATTTTAATAATAATTAAATTACAATATTTAAAATGATTTATTTGAACAAAATTAATAAAAAAAAATTTTAAAAAAAATTGAATTTTGATAAGAATAAAAATACAATAAAAAGTATTATTAAAAAAAAACATGTAAAATATTAATTGCTCAAATGTTTATTTTTAACTTTTTTATTGTATTATCATTTAAAAAACAATAATAAAATTAAATATAATTTAAAAACAAACATTTTAAAGCAACTAGTGACTAGCGAATTTAATAAATTTCAAGAACTAACACTCGCTACTCATTTCACTTTCTTTCGTTAATTTTTTTATAAGTAAATTTTTTTAAATTTTATTTAAGTAAATAATTACGGTTTTGTTTTAATTTTCGCTTTAAAAAAAAAACCAAAAAATGTGTCATGTGTAAATTAAATAAAATTTAACTTTCACCTCCATTTTTTTCTTTTTAACCTCAATAACTGAACATTTATTTAAATTTTTCTTGTTTTCTTTTGAATTATTTTTGCTTTTATTTAAATTTTCACTTTTTATAACAACAACAACAACAGCACCAAATATGTAATTCCATGGAAAGGTATTTAACCTTCTGTTTGCAAATTACTTCCTTCTGAATATTTTTGTTTTGTATATTATCCTTTTGATCCTATTTCTATACAAAGTTTCACACACAAATTAACACGTTCCTTTAAAGGGAATTTTTTTTATGCATATATTTTCTTGCTTTAAATGAAGTTAATTGAAATATCTTTTTTATTTTTTGGGTAAGGTTTAATAATTTTTATATAAAAATTCACTTAAATACAATCAATTCATTCCGTACACACCGATTTTTTTCTTTTCAAAACACTAAATAGCAAACTAGGCTTTAGCAAACTCCCGCACCAAACAACCAATCATAACAACGCTCCGAGAGCAACTGACAGGTTGTTTCATATTTTACCTTTGTTGCAACTCTCAAGCTGTGTTTATACTGCATACACCACCAGCTTACTGGCGATAAGGTTTGAGTTGGTGTTGCGTGTTGTAGCATGACTGCAACTTGTTGATTATTTCTGATGTGTTTTTGTATTGTATATTATTTATTAAGCTTCTCGCCGGGTTTGCTGGTAGAACTTATTAAGTTTCTAGAGAAGACAAGAAAGATAAATTATTTATATAAACTTTTAATGTAATTGTTATTATTTTAATTGTTTTAATGTATTGTAATTTTGTTTTATTTTATTTTATTTTATTTGTTTTTATATTTAATAACATATTATTTACTTATTAATAGGAAGTCTTATATTGTTTTATTAAGCAATATTATAAATACAACATTACCAACAATTGTCAGCTGAGATATTAATAATTGAGATTTTTACAAACAAAACTGCAATAGTAAGAAGAAGCTTATAAAACATATCTCAACATGTTGGACAGAGATGTTGCGGTTGGTTTCATTGGTTTAACTTGGTGCTCAGCTAATCGCAAAGATTTTATCTGATTAACTACTTATAAGATTTAAGAAGATGAGATTAGTTACTATTTCGACTTAATTATGTTTTAATTATCCAAAATAGTTATATTGCTCATATATATATTATATTACAATATATAAATACATAAATAAAATACATTTAACAAAAATAATAAACATAACAAAGCATATTTATATGCTCATGGATAAAATTTAATGATTTTAATAATATTGTTAATAATATAATGTGTTATAGGAAATAATGTAT